GCCGACTGCCCACCCATTGCCGCATCTGCACCGCGGCCATACCACCAGACAGCGAGCCTGACACCCTTTTACGAGCGGGTCCCCAAGACACCGCCGCCGACTGGACTTTAGGCACCACCCCCCACGGCTCACACCTCGACAAACAACATCCCCCCTTTCCACAACCGACATATCGCCATGTCAGCAGCGCAAGGCGGTCTCACGCGACGCCGCGGCGGAGGCGGTGGCGGCGCTGGTCCCGGCAACGAGACAGGCGAAGGCGCCAGCAACGCCGCCAGCCGTACAAACAGCTCTTCCAACTTCCGCGACAGCGCCCCCGAGACGAGCTATGAGAGCGGCGAGAACGGCCACAAGATTGCTTTTGACCCTCGTGACATCAGCGAGAGTGCCGAGCGCAGCAAAACAGCCCAAGCTGACCCTCATGGAGGAGGTCCTGCTGCTGGGCCTCAAGGATAAGCAGGTCGGTTTCTCTTCCTCTCTCCCTTTGGGACGAATCTGCGCCGACCGATGGCACGGGGCCAGAGGATAGGGCCCGATGTGACTGACCAGACGCAATGCAGGGATACCTCTCTTTCTGGAACGACAACATTTCGTATGCCCTCCGCGGCTGCATCGTCCTCGAGCTCGCCCTTCGCGGCCGCGTCAGCATGCAGAAGGACCCTTCGAGGCGGCGCTTTCCCCTCGCCGACCGCCTCATCGAAGTGATCGACGATACCCTGACAGGCGAGGTTCTCCTCGACGAGCCCTCAAGATGATGAAGCAGAGCGAGAAGATGAGCGTCAGCTCTTGGGTGGACCTGATGAGCGGTAAGCACCACCATGCGTCAGGATCGAAGGGGCAGAGAGAAAGAAGTCGGCTAACGGAACACAGGCGAGACGTGGAACCTCATGAAGATTGGCTACCAACTAAAACAAGTGCGCGAGCGCCTCGCCAAGGGTCTCGTCGACAAGGGCATCCTACGCACCGAGAAGCGCAACTTCCTCCTCTTCGACATGGCCACGCACCCCGTCGCCGACGGCGGCGCCAAGGAAGAGATCCGCCGCCGTGTACGCCTCGTCCTGACCCAGCGCACCGTCGTCCTGCCCCCGTCGCAGTTCCTCCCCGAGAGCCTCGATTTCCGCTACGTCCGCACCCTGGCCATGGTCTGCGCCGCCTACGCCGCCAACGTGCTCGAGAACGCCCTGACGCCGCTCGGCCACGAGGCCCGCGAGCGCGCTTTTGCTCAGACTGACGAGCTGCTCGCCGACTACAGCCAGTGGCCCTTTGGCAAGAAGGCCGTCAACAACGGCATTGGCGCCAACCTGCCCCAGGCGGTGGCCGAGGTACGATGACTGTTGCCACCCCCTCACCGCAGACTGCTGACGAGCGCACAGGAATGCAATAACAACAAGGACAAGGAACTCCAGCTCGAGGTCGTCGCCGCGTGCCTCAGCGTCTTCACCCGCCTCGACTCCCTGCTGTAAACTCCGACTTCATCCTACCGTACACAGCGCGCCTGGCGACATAGCCGGGCTGACGACCATTTGAAACAAACCATTTTCGCGTCATGGGCTGCACGCCTCATGTGCTGCAAACCTCATGGGCTGCACACCTCGTGAAGTCCCACGTTCCGACACCCACGCCTCGCCTCCCCGACCCTTTCAGCCCATCAATCAAAAGTGAGGCCATGAAAAATTAGTTGCGAAGTAATGACGGCGGACGAAAGAAGGAGGAAGGGACAGGACGAAATTAGGGTGGATCACGGAGAGGCGGTCATGATGGGCAGCAAGTGGTATATTCCCTTGAGGTGCTAGTTGGGGGGGCTGGGGGGCTGGCAGAGTCGAATTTCGAAATGTAGCCAAGGCGAAGGGAGGGACGTGGGATCATATCGTGACCTAGCTCCTGTGTTGTTCTCTATTCTCAAGCTTTCTTTTCTTTCTTGGTGTGCCTTGTTCTGCGTGCTGTGTCATGATATGGGTATGACTTGTGGTCCTGTTTTTTCGGCTGTTTGATGGCCCATGGCCACGACTGAAGTTTGGAAAAGTGATCATGCTTGGTTAACGAGGCCGTTTAGCAAACAGAACACGAGAAGAATCGGCAAAGTGACATGTCTCGATTCATGGCTAGTTATTTCCGCCGCCTCCCCCCCCCCCTTTATTATGATGCAGCATGGTAACGAAGAAGATGAAGACCAAAAACCCAAAACCAAAAGATATGTGGACAGCGCCGCCAACGCCCATTGCGAAAGAACAAAGCTCGATCCGCTCACACATCCTACACGGCGCCGGGGGGAGGGCCCGCTATGCCCTCCCTTTTTTCTCCCCCTTCAGACGAGCAGACGAGCAGACAAGCAGCCGACAGCGACAGCCGCCTCATTTCTTCTTCTTGCCGCCAAAGGAGCCGCCCTCGAAGCCGGGGCGGCCCTTCTTCTTGGTGGCGGCGCTGACGACCTTGCGGCCGGCCTTGCCGAGCTTCTTGTCGTCCTTGCGCTTCTTGAGGTTGGCCTCGCGCTTCTTCTGCTTCTCGGCCTTGGCGTGGGCGACGCCCTCTGTGCGGTCCTTCCACTCCTTCTCGCTCTTGCGCTTCTGCTTGTCCTTGCGCTTGATCGTCTTCTTGAGCGTCGCCTCGTCGTCGCGGATCTTCTCGCCCTCGGCGCGCCGGCGCGCCGTCAGCCACGTCTCCTTCTCGGCAATGTCGTCGCGCCGCGCGTCGTCGAGGGCGGCGTGTGGG